TTGGAGGAGAGGAGCAGCCTACACTTCACATTGACTTAATTCTGCAGATTTAGAAAAGATGCTTAGTGTTCTCAGTATAAATATTTTTGCATCACTTGTTTGATAGACTAGAAGCTTCTAGAAAAAGTTTCACAAACATCTGCATCTGGATTTTTGAAAATAGAGATTAAAACTAATGTTTTATCCAGACGTGATGCCTTTATTTTGATTGTAAATAAACATTTTCAAATATAAGTATTCCTCTCTAATAATTTCAACAGAAATAACATTGTGGCTAGCAGCTACCCTATTTTTGCCATAATCACGCCATTATAAGCAGGAAAAAGAACTAATGAAAGCTTCCATAATTAGGGAGGAAATGAGATACTGTGAGGAGGGAAAGATAGGCTGGAAACACAGTACAATGTTAAATATGAAAGCAACATATGCCTACATCCTTGTGTAATGTAGCTTGGTAACCAAAGTCACTCTTCCACACATAAAGGTCTCTCTGCAGTTACAATATGAGGAGCATGGAGCGATTAGGGGCTCTGAGCCACCAGTACAGCTTAGCTGACTAGCTGCAAACTCAAGTCTTGACGTTTTGGGGCCAGTACATTGCTTTTTTCATTCACTTCAAACCGTTGGCTCCTCTTGACCTCCACGAGGGCCACAAAGTCCGGGGCCTGCAGCACTGCTGCCAACAGCGTTCTCAGCCGATCCTGGTCGTCCTGGGACCACGCTGCTGGCTCTGTGCCAGACCCCGTGTGCTTAAAATGGTCTGAGTACATGTAGGGCACCTGCAGTGACACCTCCTGAGTGCCATGTGGACATGGCATCGATTAGCAGAGAGGGCAAGGAGGGAGCAGCAGCACGTGAGAAGTGCTAGGCAGGGAAAACAAGGCCTGGGTTAGAGAAGAGACAGGAGCTCATGTGGGCTGGTGGCTGCAGGACAGATCGAGGCAACAAATGGAAGCTGGGACAGTTCAAAAAGTGGGGACCAAAAGGTCAGAGTGAGGGAATTTGCTTAGGAAAAGAAGAGTCGAAACATAGGCTGAAACATGGGAAGGCAAAAAAGAAACAGGAGGGAAAAGTAGGGAAGGAGATGGAGGAAAGACTAGGCAGGAGGCAGGGGGTAGTAGGCAGAGGATGAGACTGAGGTGGGAGAAGTAGGTCCTGAAGCAAACATCCAGAAGTAGGGCAGTGAGAAGAATGGAAAAGGAAAAAGGAAAGGTGTTGGGGTGGGAAGTTCAATAAATAATGGATTTTCACATGTTTTACTCAAATGGCTTGGATTTATTCAGATAGTGCGACCCTCAGCACCAGCCCTTAGCCCCAGCCAGACCTGGCCGTGCCGTGTTCCTGGGTTGCTGCTGGGCTGTTTTCCATTTAGATCCGGGCTGTGCCTGCTACTGAGGTGGGACTGGTACAAAGCTGGGCTTTGCCAGCAAAGCCGTGCTGGCATGAGGCATGCTGGTCTGGAATAGCATGTTGCTATGCTGACCTCCTAGAACAGTACACATAGCTGGGCTTGAGCCGCTCTGCCATCGGCTGCAGAGAGCATCCATTTCAGCGACTAATGTACAAAGAGCTCAGTTTTTAGATGCAACCTAAAAGACTGATTTTTTGATCTGATTTGCCCCTCCAGAAATGGAGATTATGGTCAGAGTATATCTTATTATCTGCTGTTTTTTCTCCCTGATACGTAGCACAGCTCGTCCTTCTCCCTGCTGCCCCACTGCAGCTGCTGCCTGTAACACAGCAAAAGGTGCAGAACGAAAGGTGCCAGTGCAGGCAGTGCAGGAAAAAAAAGGGGGGGCAATGAGAGAGAGAGAAGAACACAGAGACGTGGGTGGTTTGGGAAGCTCCAGGAAGCAGTGGCAGCGCGGAGCTGCGTGCTGGGACTGCGCTCCAGAGGGAAGGAGAACACTTCATGCGGACACAAACGGCGGTCACGGGGATATTTGTGTACTTAGTGTTCGCACTGAAAGTCAGGATGGCACTTCGTGGCTCTAAAAACCCTAGCCCTGCCCCAGAGATAGCGTTACAGAATCTTTTTTGGTTCCCAACAGGTCTAATACAAACGAACCATAGGTGCATTTTAACATGTTCTTTAAAGCTGTCTCTGAAGCTTCCCAGTGAGAGGTGATGTTTTAAAAAGCGAATGGAGCGTGTCAGTGCCATAGGCAAGTGTAGTGATATTAGGGAGAAATACTACATCATCCTCTGACACTTTAAGATGATAGCTACTGGTTTAAATTTAAAAACCAGTCCAGGGACCAACTGTTAGAGATACTTGTCACTGCCCCTCTGCAGCAATTTGGGCTTTGCTCTGGGCGCTGAACTTTTGAAATCCTCAGAAGATAAATTTACAGTCTGTGACTGCTCAGGGGGAAGACTATTAAAGAAGCAACCCCAAACAATTAAATAAAACCTTAGCTATATGCAATTGTTTTAATTTAGTCCTTTGATATCATTAATCTGATTAAGTTCTTTCCAAACAAACTGCACATAGAACTTGGCCTAGGAGGAGTGGACTAAGCCCATATGTATCCTGACAGGGGTGTTTACTCGAACGGAGTTATCCCAGCCTCGCTGTGCGTACTTGGGGACGCAAAAGGGCCTGGGGACAGGAACTCGGAGAACAATAAGGATAGAGAAACTTAGAGGAAATAACCTACTGGGAGAACGGGAATGCACTGGGAATAGAAAAAATCAGTCAGCTAGGAAGAAATCAGATATTGGGAAGATGCCCACAGAGAGGGAGCAAGAGATGCCCACGGAGGGAGGTTTAGAGAGGAGCAGTGTGCTGGAGAGGGGAGAACAGGGGCTGCCAGCACAGGAGGAAGCACCCCAGTGAGGGAAGGGGTGCAAGTCACAGGGGGTGAAGAGGAGGAAAGCAGATGGTCCTTAAACAAGCTTTGACAAGGGAGGCTGGTCTTCAACTGGCAGACCAACCTTTCTGGCTGCAGAAACTTCGTATTCCTTCCCCACCTTGCTGGGCAGGAGCAGATGGAGATATAGGCCTTCACCACCCAAGAAATTTTGGCAGAGCTTGCAACAGCCATGCCTGCTGCAGCAGTGGAAACTTACCTGGCCTCCCTCAGCCTGGGGCAGAGCGGGGCTGGCCGGGGGTCCCCTGCCCTAGCTGCAGGCAGCGATGCAGCCCTTTCTGCACCCATGGCCCGGCTGCAGCCCAGGCGCTGCTGGTTTTGACTCGCTACTCATTAACAGGGTTCAGACAGTGTGGTTCTTTGCTGCAGGACCAACGAGGGTTGGGGATGGGGACACTGCAGCCACCCAAGCCCTGTCAGCATCTGCTCCCCGTAGGCCTGGTGGGAGTGTGGACAGACCAACCCTGAGCACCCTCATAGGTGAGGCCCAGAAGTGGAGCCCTCCCTGCTGAGCCAGGTGCAGGGGGGTCACTCCACACCCCAGACAGGGGTCGCTGGGCTGGGGGGCGGGGGAGAGATTTCTCCCTGCCATTCTAACCTGGTCCTCAGTCTGAGAGAGAAGTAGGGCGGGACGGGTGTCCCCAGCTTGGAAAAGAAAAACTTTTGGGACCCCAAACTACTCAAGACACAGCAGGGAGGGTGCCGGGAGTGACAAGAGCAGTTGGGGTGAAGGAAGAAGAGTTGCATGTCCAATCAACCCTGCCTCACAGCAGGGAAAATGCCTCAGCACTGGCACCCAGCCTTCCCGGACGGGACCAGAGGCACTAGTGAGGGGCTTGCAAGGGTGATGGGGGAGGGGAGGCCGGGTTTCCCTGCCACCAGCCTGCTACCTGCATACTGGGTGCAGGCCCATGGGGTGGGCACGCCGGG